CACCTAGGGGGTGTGTCCATGACAGGCTGGACTTGTAGGAAGTGGTTTGAATGATGCTGGCTGTCATTCAACCTGGGAGGAGGGGTGACATCTAGTTTTTTTTTTGTTGGGTGAAAGCTCACGATGGAAGGTTCGTATTGCTGCATTTTTGGGCAATATATTTTTGAAGTGGGATTCTAAATAACCAAAAATGTTCACACAAAAATAGAAGCTTCTTAAAAATGACCTTCAAGGAGAACTATGGGGTTAGGGCTGTTATTGGCTGGATCTCCAGGTAGGAAACTGTAACAGAGGAAGAAAACACGATTTGCTCAACTGTATATAGCGAGGCATGATGTCAGACCTACTGAAAAGTAGATTTTGAGTTTTAAAGGAGAACTATGGGGTCAGTGTTTTCCCCATAGTTCTCCTAAGGGTAACGGGAGGAGACAAACTAGCCTCCTCCCGTCACCCTAGGCTCAGTATATAGGGAGCTACAGCTACAGGGTCAGTGCTGGAGAATCCAGTCCCTCCCCTGTCACGGCTCTCTGCAGGGATAGATCGAGAAGTGAGCGAGCGCCGGTATGTGTTCACTCGCTTCCCGATCTACTGAGCCGACCTGTGACAGTTTCATAGTCACAGGTCGGCTCGAGCTATGAGGTGAAGTGAAAGTCACTCACCTCATAGTTCTCCTTTAACGTGTCCAAATATTTCGGGAGGCAATCTAGTCCTCGGGTTACAGTCAGGTTTCACCAACACATACGGACGCTGGTAAATCTGGTTCGCACGCCCAGGAAGCACACAGAAAACCGCATTGTGTGCGCCCCCTCGTTCGTTGTGTCCGCTCTCCTCGGGTCCTGCCATCTGATGATCTCTTTCGCTCGACTGTTACGCATTAGCTGAATGTTTCTGTGTTTTGTTTTTTTTATACTGACAATATTTAAGTTGTGTTTTATTTAATTCATGTTATTAATGTTTTCATGGTGAATTTTCTCCGTGGCGCCAGCCGCTCGCGGCGGAGGCTTCTTAAAGCTTGGTCATGGAGTTCTGTGGCCTGACCGACGGCCTCCCTGCTGGAGACTGCTGTGGACGTCGCGCACGGTGGCCCCCGGAATCGGAGAGCTTATATGTGGAAGGCTGAGGATTCTAATGGTCTACCAAATCTTATGACTGTGTGCCGATTCTATAAACATCATTTGGCAATAACATTTTGTCTTGGATGAAGAAAACCGGTCTCTTTGTTTGTCATTATTTTGGGGTAAACTAAAGACAAAGTTCAGTTTCTCAGACTAGACGACAACCCCCCCTCCCCCCCTCCCCCTTAGTGTATAGATCATAAAAACCTTTATCAGTTCTTGGATGGTTGGTATCGGCCACAGTGTGTGTACGCTATGTTCCCCTATACACAACGGTGACGTGCGGTACCTTCGGTGCTGGGTGAGGCATTCCCCCTGCCCGCCCCCAGCCTGACGAAGCCCCAACCGGGTCACCCATGTGCGGAGGAGGAAGTGAGGAGACGGGGGAGCCTCCCTGTCCCTCGCTTGCTTGTCACTGGCGAGGCATTCAGATCGATGTTCTCAGCGCAGTGGTGTCACAAGGGGGGTGCGGCCCGCACCCGGGTGACACCATTGGAGGGGTTTGAGCACCCAATTCTTGAAGGGATTTATGCGGTCAGGAGTGCGATGGGACCATGGACTATCAACCATTGGAGGGGTGACAACAAAATGACTTACAGTCATTTTGGTGTCGAGCGTGCGCGATGACGTCTCGACGGGGTGACACTCTGTTACCGCTCCAGGTGTCACCCAGCCTCGGGATGCCCTTGACTCGGCGCTTTCTTTTGTTTGATTGGGCAGCTTTGCCATTGGTCCAAACCATCCACAGAGCTCATGCCTCTAACATAGAGTAGAGGCTGTTGCAGCTCTGGCCTCACTAGGTTAGGTGACACAAGCAGTGGGGAGGAAGCCCGCTGCTGTCTAACCTAACTTTGCTGTCAAAATCCGGATGCAGCGCCGCCTGTAATTAATAAGCAGCACTCCGGCCATGACAGGTTACACGGCGGGGGGGGGGGGGGGGGAGCTCCGCCCCACCTGCCTCCCCTGACCGCACGTCCCCGGTACACAATATAGTGGACATCTATCACCTCTCTATGAGTTTGTTTCCTATTCCAAAACCAAAAGAATTAATATGGAGTTGTAACAGCATTCACCTGGGAAGGCTTTCCATAAGATTTTGAGTTTGGGGGGATTTGTGCCCATTCAGCTTTTGTGAGGTCAGGTACTGATGTTGGATGAGAAGACCCGGCTCACAATCTGCATTCCAATTCATCCCAAAGGTGTTCAGTAGGGTTGGGGTCAGGGCTCCATGCAGGACACGCGAGTTCCTCCACACAAAACCCATCAAACCATGTCTTTATGAAGCTGGCTTTCTATGCAGGGGACCGTCATGGTGGAACAGAAAAGGGCCTTCACCCAACTGCTGCCACAAGACTGGAAGAGGACAATTGTCTATGTGCCGTAGCATTACCAGTACCCTTCACTGGAGACACCTGACCTCAGTCATTTGGAGGGAGGCTCCATATACTTTAGGCCGTATTGTGTATTATGGTCAAGTTTCCTCATACTTTTGGGCATATGATGTATATTCGAGCTCTTAATGGTACCAACTCCTATCAAATGCAGCCTGCCTAGGACCACCCGCTCCTCTAGACTAACACCCACCCATAAAGGCATTGTGATATTTGAATAACTCCTTCCAAGAGCCGGCCCACTGCTTAGGATCGGGACTGAGGGCTCTTCAGAGTAGTACTGAGGCAAGGTTTGATCCGCCTGCATTGTATAGAGAAGCGCAGGGATGCCAGGATGACATCACTGGAACTAAAGTGAAGTATTATTTAGGTTTTATTTAATAATGTAA